ATCTTCTCTTGATGCTTTCTGCATATTCCACTATGTTGTTGTTGTTAAGTGCCATCAAGTCGTTTCTGACCCATAGTGACCCTGTATAGGGTTTCCAAAGAGCAGCTGGTGAGCTTGAACCACCGACCTTGCAGTTCAAATGACTTTATAGTCTGACGCATTAGCCCACAGCACCATACCAGGACTCCCAGTTGTGGTGTGGAGTATCATAAATTGATTTGATTTTCACACCTTTTGGTGTCAAAGAAGTAGGATTTAATATTCTTACAGATCGTTTCTGTATAATTTCTAAGTATCTGAGGTTGTTGTTGTTAAGTGCCATTGAGTCAGTTGCAGCCCGTAGCGACCCTGCACAGGGTTTCTGAGTATTGCCTTGGTGGGTTTGAACCACCACCTTGAGGTTAGCAGTCCAGTTCTTACCCTAAAGCATCACATCAAGACAGCAACACTTTTTCTGGAGAATTAAATATAGCAGCTTTGGAATTACAGTGTTTCATCACACACACATACTTTTACAACATAAGGTTTGATTTTCATTCACTTTTTAAAAAATACTGAAATATCTGTCTAGTTGCTTCATTGTCTGCCATGTTTCCCTTTTTCTCAAGTTCCAAAAGCTACACAGTGAGGTCTTCATGACCTAAAGTTGCACATTTCTGTAACCAGCCAGGTTGTGCCAAAAGAACAACCATTTCCTTTTGGTACAGGCTTTCGATTGTGTGGATCATGACAATCTATGGACAACATTGTGAAGTATGAGTATTCCTGAACACTTAATCGTGCTCATGAGGAGTCAGTACATGGACCAAGAGGCAAGTTGTTCCACCAGGACATGGGAACACTGAATGGTTTAAAATTAAGGTGTGCAACAGGGTTGTATTCTTTCACTATACTTACTCAACCTGTATGCTGAGCAAATAATCCGAGAAACTGGGTTCTATGAAGAAAAACATGCATCAGGATTGGAGGAAGACTCATTCACAACCTGCGATATGCAGATGATACAATCTTGCTTGCTGAAAATGAAGAGGACTTAAAATACTTACTGATGAAAATCAAAGCACACAACCTTTGGTATGGATTGCATCTCAATGTAAAGAAAACAAAAATCCTCACTCCTGGAATAATAAACAACATTCTTATTAACAGAGACAAGATTGAAGTTGTCAAGAACTTCATTCTTCTTGGATCAACTATCAACACTCAAGGAAACAACAGTCAAGAAATCAAATGATGTATTGCATTAGGCAAATCAGCTACACAAGACCTTTTTAAAGCGTTGAAGAACAAAGATGTCAGTTTGAAGACTAAAGTGCGCCTGACCCAAGCCATGCTATTTTCAATAACCTCATATACATGTAAAAGCTGCACAATGAATAAAGAAGACTGTAGAAGAATTGATGCTTTTGAATTATGGTGTTAGAGGAGAATATTGAAAGTGCCATGGGCTGCCAAAAGAACCAACAGATCTGTGTTGGAAGTGCAGCCAGAGTGCTCCTTGGAGGCTAGGGTGGCCAGACTTCATCTCTCATACTTGGGACATATAGTCAGGAGGGACCAATAGCTGGAGAAGGATATCTTGTTTGGTAGAGTGGAGTGTCAAAGAAAACGAGGAAGACTCCCAGCGACATGGATTTGCATTGTGGTAGGATCAATGGGCTCAAGCGTGGTAACAATTGTGAGGTTGGTCCAAGACCTTGCAGTGTTTCGTTCTGCTGTGCATAAGGTCTTTATGTGTTGGTACCAACTTGTTGACACATAACAACAACAATTGTTGTTAGGTGCCTCAGAGTCACTTCCTACTCAGAGTGACCACATGTATATTAGTACAAAACACTGTCCAGTCCTGTGCTGTACTCAGCAACTTATGTTTTGCACCATCCTCGTAGTAGTTATGTTTGAGTCCTTTGGTAGAGCCACTGTCTATCCATCTTCTTGACAATCTTCCTCTTTTTCACTGACTCTGTACTTTACCAGGAGCCCTGGTGTGGCATTGTAGGATCAGCACTGGACAGCTAACCACAAGGTTGATGGTTCAAGCCCACCAGCCACTCCTTGGAAACCCTATACAGGGTTACTGTGAGTTAGAATTGACTCCACAGCACTTAACAACAACAACTAGTTTACCAAGCATGATTTCCTCCTCCAGGGACTGCATTCCCCCCAGCCCCCAATTTAAAAATGCATTTATTTTATTATTTATTTTTGTTTAAACAACCAAAGGGCACATTTTGCAAACCAGCACACACCTTTCTCTTTCCATGAGTCTGGAGTCCTCAGATGCTGTATTTCTCCATGTCCTCATCTCTGCTTCCATATCTTGGGTCGCTGCTTCTCTGTTTAGGATCCCTTGCTTCTTTCATGCTCTTCCCGCTTGATGGCCAAGGGTCCTCCCTTTCTGGAATGTAAGATTCACTACTCTCCCTTTGTTAACACAACTTCTGCCTTTACAGTTGTGACAATCACAATTAGTCATGATAATAATTACTCACTATTGAATCAAAAGAGTCCTATCTCCATGTCCTTTCACCAGACCCCTCTAGATAAGTCAAAAACTATTCAGTGGGGATTCTACCTTCCCCTGCATACTCTGAAACTAAACTCCCTCTTAAAAACCTGTAAGCCAGCTACTTCGTGCCTTTATAGCCCAACCCCCCACCCCCACGAGTAGTTATCACATCTTGATTGTGTGCATGATAATTTTCAGATGAAGAAGTTGGTTCATCTTTGGCATTAGTGGTTGGTGCACAGATTAGAATAATAATCATATTAATTGGTCTTCCTGACGGCTGGTGGGTTTGAACTGTCAACCTTGTGGAGGCCAGTCTTCCTTATAGATACATGAATATTATCCCCATTCTCTGGTAATGTTGTACTTCAGGATATATCTTGAAATAATTCTTTTGATGACTAGTGTGATGCCATTCCTCTTTAATTCATTATTCCCAGATATTCAGTCTTGGAAACCCTCTATCACGTTGCTCTGAGTCAGAATTAACTATGTTAGCTATGGGCTTTGGCTTTCTACTCTGAGGGGGCAGCTCTTCCCCAGTCTTATTTTGAGTGCCTTCCAAGTCCTCATTACTAGTCTGTTGTAGTATGAAAGCTCTGGTGTAATCTGTCCACCATGAGTGACCCTGCTGATAATTTGAAATACCAGTGGCCCAGCTTTCAGCAACACACATGCCACCATAATATGGCAAACTGACAAAATAGTCGGGGTGTTATTTGTGTAAAGATCTAGGATATTTGCCTACCTACCTTGCTAACTTTGTTAAGTACCATGGAGTCGGTTCCAACTCATAGTGACCCTGCACAGGGTTTCCGAGGCTATATATCTTAACAGGAGTAGAAAGCCTCATCTCTCTCCCATGGCACTTCTGGTAGCTTTGAACGACTGACCTTGAGGTTAGCAGCCCGATTCATAATCACTACGCTACCAGAGCTCCCTTGCTAACTTTAGCAACTGACTTATACATTTCCCCTTCATTTTCCTCTTACTACATTGGATTGCTCAGTTGGTAGAACATGAGACTCTTAATCTCACATTGGGTAGTCGTTTTTGGAGTCCTGGCATTGTGCTGTAGGATAAGCACTGAACTGCTAACCCTAAGGTTGGTGGTTCAGACCCAAAATCTGCTTTGAGTCCAAACTGACTCGATGGCACTTAACAACAATATATTGGATTAGAATTGTGTTTAATGACCCTCTTAATAGAGGTCAGAGAAAGGAGTTCAACTGTTTTCTTTACAGGTTGTGAAACAGAAATACCCAGTAACATAGTATGAGGAAGGCCATGGCTAGACACAAAAGTACAGAAAAATAAAACATTTGCTTAAGAAACATAGTGGAAACCATACACTTAGAATATTTTCAATGATGTTGTTTTAAGTGCTGTTAAGTCAGTTGCCACTCATAGCTACCCTGTGTAGTCTCTTAGGAGCAGCTGGTGGATTTGAACTGCTGATATTGCTGTTAGAAGTCCAGTGTATCTCTTACTGCACCAGCCAGGGCTCCTCAGTAAATGACTTGCACAAAATTAAGCTCTAGAGGAGTTTAGGATATTTAGGAACTTTTGAGATCAATTAGTGGTTTGAACCACCAACCTTGTGATTAGAATTCTAGCACCTAACCCACAGCACCAGCCTTGAAAACGCTATCTGATTGCAGTTCACATTGGGTCTCTGTGAATCTAAAATCGTGCCTAACAACAGTAACAATCCCATATCTTAATGGCAGAAAATAACAGAAAGGCCTGGCTTTTTTTAATTGCCTATATACCACATTTAAGGGGTGGAAATGAAATGTTAACATTAAAAGCGTTGATGGCATGAGCGCTTAAGGATATTTGGTGAATTGAATCCCTTCCTTTTCAATGATTGTGAGTTTATAGTCGATAATTTTACTACTGAGGAGAGAAAAAGTAAAGATGAGCTATAATACAAGTGCTTAGAATGGGTCTGTAACTGCTGATTGACCTGTACTTTGGTAATTGAAAGTTTGGTTACTTTTTTATGCCTGTATATTTGACCTCATACCCTACCATGTTTAATAGATGCTTGTCTAAATCATCTTATACTGATGATCCTCTAAATTTAGTCAATCAATACAGAATGCAGTTTTATTTCATGATTCAGATAAAGTGGAAAAATTTAAATATCCCTTCTTTGTTCTAGTGGCATTAGAAAATTACATTGAAAACATTAGCCTTTATCAGAAAAAAGTTTGTTTAAAATATAAGGGAAGTTCAAGAAGATTATGGAAAAATTCCACTGTCTATTAATTCCATTTTCCCACCACTTTTGAAGCCCCCGTGTACAATGGAAAGAATAGTACCCATTGTACGTTCACCAATTGTTCAGTGCCATCGAGTCGATTCCAACTCATAGCAAACCTATATAGGGTTTCTGAGGAGCAGCTGCTGAGCGCACTGACCTTGCTGTTCTGTGTATTAACCCACCTGAGGAGCGGCTGGTGAGCGCACTGACCTTGCAGTTCAAACTAATCTTGCTGTTCAGCTCATTAATCCACAGTGCCACACCAGGACATTACTTAACAAATAGAAATGGATTATATAATTCTTCAGCTAATGGCATTGCTCTAAATATTTCCTTGTGGTTATCAAAATAGCTTTATCTTTTTAAGAAAATTTACTTAAAAATTATAAGTAATTTCTTCTGGTTTCCGGGTACCCCCTTTGAGAGTCATTGAATGTGTTTAAGTCTTTTATTTCTTTTTTAAAAAATGACAAGATGTGAGGGTGAGGAAACTGATACACAAATACAGCTTACTCAAGAACTGAAAAATCTACAGCTAAGATTTCAAGTTGACTGACCCTTTATCCATCATTCTTCCAACTGTACAGCATGTTCCTCTTTAATTTTTGTAGTGTTTGTTTAAATTTTTAACCCACCATTCTTAGTTTACTCAGTTTTGAGTGCCAGTCAAATTTCTGTTGTATCAACTATGAGACAATATTAAAATGGCTGCATTTTCTTTCCATTTTAACAGAAAAGTAGCAGCTCTGAATCATTAAGTGACAAAGGTTCTGAATTGAAGAAAAGCTTTGATGCTGTGGTATTTGATGTTCTTAAGGTTACACCAGAAGAATATGCGGTAAGCTTCACACATCTCCTGTCTCCACTTTTTTTTTTAAGTTTTTATTGTGAATTATGTGAGTTTATATGGGAGAACATTAGCGTTAGGAAATTCATCCTATCTTATTTCGTTTTATTGCATTGATTACAGTTCCGTGTATTCATCATCAGACAGCTAAAGGGTACAACCCGTAAGCCTGCCCCCTGGCCGGCAACACACTGACCCTGTCCCTCCCTGAGTCTAGTGTCCCCAGCCACTCCATCTCTCCACATCATCCCTTCTCAACTTTTTACCCATAGTTTACATATTGGTGCTATTGAGTTAGAATTTGTAGGCCCATGGAGGAGATAATGAAACATAAAAGAAAAAGCTGAATGTGGGACTTGATGGAAAGAGTAGCAGTATGATGGAGCTAGCACAGGGGTTGGATAAGGATATGAGGTGTAGTAGGTGAGAAGAATGGAGATAATTCTTAGAACACCTTCATGAGGTATGCTTTCAACTTGACAAGTAATGATTATTTACCTTTATGGCAATTACTTTCATCCCTGACTGTACCAACTCCCCGAGTCAATTCTACTTTCTTGACATTTTCTAAGAAGTATTTTTACTTTGTGGGAATAAAAAGTCGAAAAATGAAATATAAAGTGTTATTATGGTATCATAAAAGGTACCTAAAATCCTGACATGAGCATTATTTATGGTACCTTTCTCCGTTAATTTATTAATAGAAGATAATTGATTTTCTCATATTGAGTTTACTCTTTCATTTCAGGAATAAATCTGTGCCTGATACTGCATAGTATGCTTTGATATATTGCTAGATATCATTCTATCTGTATATCCGTAAATGAAATAGGTCCTTAGCCATGTAAAAGTCCATAAATATAATGGGATAATCCTACTGTCATCTGATTGCTTTTCGTAAATTAGGAATAAAGCCTTTTTAGTAAAGTCAGATTTTGCAAGTTTGAGGAAATATTTAATATCACTGATAAAGAACACTGTTCTGTTAACCAGTAGATAAGATTTTGATTTTTTTAGAAATAATTTTGTTTTCTAAATTTACCTTATTTCGCTCTTAAGGTGGTAATTGGTATAATGAATAATCTTTTAGTATAGAACATAATTTAAATTTAGGATATATGTTAATTGTAAAGAAGATAGTATCTATTATTAAATAAAAAGAAGATAGTATCACTTTTTACTTTTATATTTTCAGGGTCAGATAACACTAATGGATGTTCCAGTATTTAAAGCCATCCAACCAGATGTGAGTAATTTAAATTTTTTTTCACTTAAATACAAAAAAATGATCAGTTACAATATCCCAAATGAAGACATTTTAGAAATGTCAAATTATACTTCATAATAATTATAAATGTTTATGATTTTTAAAGTAACTTGTCTGTATATTTCCCAGACCTCAGAAATGAGTGTGCCATTTAGCTATTTTACATTGAGTCTGAAAACCTGTTGTTCACTGAGATGATTCTGACTCATAGTGACCCCATATGTGTCCAGACATAGTTATGGGACTCTTGGGTCATCTTAGATGATGCAGCTTTATCACTTTACTAAAGAGAGGACTAGACTTAGAAGGGCTGAAAGATTCTCCTGTAGCTTAGAAGCTTTTTGATGATAGGATGGAGAATAGAAACTTGGTTTCACAACTTGTTGTAAAAACCCTTTCCCCTTTACTTTAAGACGATGAATTGACAGTTTTTGAGAGAGGAAGGAGGATCAAAGAAGGCTTTTTTTTTTTTTTTTAAGGTTTTTATTGTGGATTGAGTGAAAGTTTTCAGGCACATCATCGGTTTCACATTCAAACATTCATATACCTTATTTCATTACATTGATTATAATCCCCTCCACATACCATCAGTTAACAGAGTTTCTCTCTATCCTCTTTAGCTTTTTTTTTGGGAAAAACTTTGCCTTTTTGGAATTTACAGTCTCAGCTTTTAGGGAAGGTTTTTACATTTATCTGTGGGTATCCAGGGCTCATGTATGGAATTACTAACCAGCATAACTGAATAATCAGCTAAGGGACATTTTGCTAAAGAAGGCATTTTTTTTAAAAAAAATAAAGGATTTAATATCTATTTATGCATCGACCCACTGTATGCCATTTATTGTATGGAGTGTATATCTGTGTAGTGCCCCTATCATTTTTACAGCTTGGATGTGCTGGTACCATTTCGCTGATGAGGAAACACAGTAAAAGTTGCTCTTGATACACAGCTAAATGTTGGAACTGACTCCCAAAGTGGAGGCTTTCCCACTCGATGAAGTAAGACTATAAGTCTGATCTTTTCACCCCAGAACAAACTCATTGATCATTCTGAGATTCAGTACCATAAGATAGTTAACGTTTCTGTTCTTTGGATATTAAAATACAGTGTATTTGTTGTTATATAAACAAGTCTACAGTGTCCCTGAACACTTATTTTTTAAAAATTAAATCATTTTGCATGTAAAATCCAACCACACAAACCTCCATTTCCATATTGTACAACAGTCACTGCTATCCATTTCTAAATCTTTTATTCCCCCTATTTCTCCTTTCTCCCACCCACCTCCATCTGTACTTTCCCTTACTTTGTTTGCAGGAAAGTTCCCAATGGTTTGTTCTACTGAACAGTACACATTGTTTTCCTTCTAGTATATTGAAGAGGAAAAAAAAGGTGTTACCTTTCCCCCCACCTTTCTTCCTTTTCTTTTTAACTGCCTTCTCCATCACCCAAGTTAGCATGTGTCTACACTTACCCAGTATAATTCTCCCAACCCTTCTGCCTGTGGTAACCACCATAAACAGCTTATTATAAAAAGAAGACCTTTTCTTGACTTTTTAGTATAGTGGTCTCATACATGTTGTATTGCAGATTCCTTGTTATTCTTCAATGTCTCGTAACATTCCACCGTGTGTATGTACAAAAGTTTGTTCAGCCATTCCTCTGCTAGTGGGCATCTAGCTGTCTCCCATCTTTTTTGCTATTGTGAATAATGCTGCAATGAACAGGGGTGTGCAAATGTTTATTCTTATCACAACTGTTATTTCTTGATGGTATATACCAAGTAGAATGATTGCTGGGTCATAAAGTATTTATTTCCGTTTCCAACCTTCTGAGAAAGTTCTGTACCATTTTCCATAGTGTGTATGTGGGAGGTGTCCCCTACTCAACCCACCCTTTCCAGCATTTGCTGTTTTCTGTTTTTAATTGAACTGTGTGCTATTAATGCTGGGGTAATATGATAACTCATTTTTTTGCTTCTCATATCTCTGTGGAATCCTGGTGTGATGCTGTAGGATAAGCATGGACTGCTAACCACAAGGCTGTCAGTTCAAACCCACCAGCTGCTCCTCAGAACTCCTTTACAAGGTTGCTATGAATCAGAAGTGACTCAGCAGCACTTAACAACAACAATGGCTAGTGAGTCCTGGTATGGTGCTGTAGGATCAGCACTGAACCGCCAACAGTGAGGTCAGTGGTTCAAACCCATCAGCCGCTCCTCAGAAAGTCTATACTGGGTTCGCTGTAAGTTGGAACTGACTCAGTGGCTCGTGACCATGAGCATTTCATCATTTGTTTATTGCCCACTGGCATGTCTTTGGTAAAGTGTGTGTTCATGTCCTCTGCTCGTTTTTTCAGTTGGATTATTTGTCGTCGTCTTATTGAGGTGATGAAGTTCTGAACGCTGTTTATAAGGACTTTAGCTAGTGAAAGAAAACATCAATGTCTTACATAGTATAGTATAGCCAGTGTTTGTCTTGTGATTTTCAGATAAATTACTTAATGTCTTAGAATCTCAGGTTTACCATCTGTAAAATGATCTTTCAGTTTCTGTCATTTCCACATGTGTTTTCTGTATAACCTGGAAGGCTCTCTGAATAGAAACATTGTGCTAGCAATAAAAGAACAACAGTCCATTTTAGGAATAGGACACAAGCAGAAAATGGCTTTTTTGTTTAAAATGTCAAAAAAACTGAAATAATTCATTTTCTTAATTCCCCTAAACAAAACCAAAGAAATCAAATTCTTTATAAAAATTACATTTTGCCTTGAAATCCAGTCATCTTTTCCTGAAATGCATTTTTTGCCTTTTGAATTAATTGCAATAACTGTACTGTATTGTCCTTTCACATGAGATCAGCACTGTGTAATATACTGTGTCCGATATGTGGGCCACTTAGATAACTTCAGTTTTCTAGTGGTCACTTTAAACAGTGGGAAAAAAGCTAATGAAATTAATTTTGATAATACATTGTATTTAATATACAAATAGTATCATTTCAGCTTGTAAAATCATTTTTGTACTGATTACGTTCCTTTTACTGTACTGAGACTGAAAATTGGCATGCATTTTATAATTAATCACATGTTTATTTGTAGTAACTACATTTCAAGTATTCTTTAGCCTTTTGTGTCTAATGGCTTGGGCCTTGAGATCTAAATAATTACTACTTGAGAACACAGATTTGGTCTAATTTTTAATTCTTCTGGGGCATCTAACATTTTCATTTCTGTGGGATAACAATTAGATGCCCAGAGGAGTAAAACAATTAGACTCAGTCTGTGTGAAATTTAGAAGTGCAGACAATCCCCAAGTTACTAGCAAGATCTGTCCCTAACTGTGTATTAGTGGAATTTTTAGGTGAATCTAAGAAACCCTATACAGGTTCACTAAGAGTTGGAACTGACTTGATGGCATTTAACAACAACAAAGGGAAAATAGGAGTTACCTGTGAGTAAGACATTTGGACATTGTGGTGCTGTGGGTTAATTAATGCTCTGGACTGCAAGGTCAGTTTGAACCACAAAGTCGGTAGTTCAGGTTCACCAGCTGCTCCTTGGAAACCCTATACAGGAGATACAGAGACACTATGAGTCGGAACTGACTTGACGTCACTTGGAGCCCTGGTGTGGCACTGTGGGTTAATGTGCTATACTGCAAAGTCGATTTGAACTGCAAGGTCAGTGGTTGACGCTTACCAGCTGCTCCTTGGAAACCCAAATAGGGTCACTATGGGTCAGAACCAACTCTGCAGCCTGGAGACTGCATAAACCTTAAACTGCCCTTGATTTAATTCTCTATATCTGATTTTGTCCTAATCTCATTGGTTTTTAACTTTCTAAGTATATTGTCTATTCATTCTATCTCTGTTCTAATTACCCTAATTAAGATTCTATCTTCTGTTAGTTTGAAGTACTGCAATAGTCTCTACCTGATCTCCCCACATCCACTCTAACTCTTATAATGCCTCTCTACCCAATAGCTTTGGTTATCTCTTCAACATGCAAGTCTAACCTACCACCCCTCTATTTAAAACATGTCAGTAGCTTCTAGTTGTACTGAAGATAAGGCAGAACATCTTGGTAGTCTATAGATCTTTCTTCGTTTTGCCTTTCCTCTCTCTCTCTAGTGTAGTTACCCTGACTAGTCCCTCTTACCACTGAGCCTGTGCACATCCTCACTGAATTCTCCTCATCTTCACCTCTCACCTCCAATTTGACTTACTGAGGAAAGCTTTTTGTAACTCCTTACAGGGTCTGCTGATGTGGCACTGTGGGCTAATGTGAGGGACTGCAAGGTCTGTTTGAACCGCAAGGTTGGAGGTTCAAATTCACTAGCCACACTTTGGAAACCCTATGCAGGGTCACTATGAGTTGGAATCAACTTGAAGGCACTTAACAAGAACAACAACACAGGCTTTGCTAGCACTCTGTACTTCTTCATTGGACTTGAAAGTTGCAGTTTTACATTTGTGATTCACCTTAGTGACCCCTCTATATGTCAGGTACTGTTTTAGTTGATGGAGATACAGTAAAAAACAGAATAAAACCCCTGATCTTGTGGCTCTAACATTTGAGTGTTGTAAGCTAGGCAGTAAGTATCATGAAAGAAATAAAGCAAAGAGGATAGGGCATGAAAGTAATGGTTGTTGGCAATTTTAGGTAGCCTGGTTAAGGAAGGCTTCATTGAAAAGGTAGGATCTGATCAAAAGACCTGAAGGCAGTGAGAGAGCAAGCCATATGGGTTTTGCATAAGAGAATGTTACAAGTAGAAGGAACAACAGGATCAAAGGCCAGAGAGCTATAATGGAGTGAGCAAGGGAGGAGAAGGTGAGAGGAAGATTTGAGGGCTAGATAGTGTGGACCTTGAAATACCACTGCTCTGAAAATGTTGGGAAGTCATTGGAAGGCTGCAGGTAGAGCAGTAACATTTTCTCACTTGAGTTTTAAGTAGCCCTTTCTGACTGCTAAGGTGTCT